TGCTAATATCTTAACAATTCTAACAAGTATTCAAATTAAAAAATCTGGAAAATTGAACATTTAAATCCTATTCCATATGCCTTAATGTTCTCCTCTCCAACTTCTTGGTTTTGTATTGGGACAAAAAATTAGTATGAGGTCCTTTTTAAGCATTTTGTACTATGTACAAATAGAGTATACCTATACATCGATCTTTCTGGGACATGAGTGTACAACTTGTGGACTTTCAGATTTTTGGCCTATGGCTTTCATAAACACTAATCAAAGCAGCCAAATATGAAGGATGGGACTTGTGACCCTTCAGGTTTTTTGGATTCCAAGTTTCCTATAACTGCTTTAAAGTATCAGAATATTTTCAGATGCAAGCTTAAGCATTCTCCTATGCAAATGTGTAAATTAACCTACTTTGCACTGGAAAATGTTCAGCTTGTATCTGATTCCTAGCCAGGATCTTTTCTCCACAGAGGATCATATAATTAATCTAATATGTGTTTCATAAAAAGAATGCATAGCCTTTAGGCACACAGTACTGTTTTAAAGTCACTAGCTTTCATTGGATGCTAATGAAACAAAACTCAGTCAATATAAAAAAGCTACTGGTTGAGCTTCCTCCAACCTAGCATAAAGAAAGTCCAATGTTTTCACTTTAAGACACATTCTGAATACTCAAATCAGATGAGTCCAACAAATATCAACTTGTAGTAATTATGTTGACTACCTGTGAGGATGCTAGGAAAATAAAGTTAAATAATTAAATCAATTATTGCTAAAAATCAAGTTGATATTGGAAACAGTCACGATTTTCCAAATCAGGCTTTGTCTGAATGCTTCAAAGCGGTAGAATAATTCACCAAGGAAGTGCCTGCCTTGCATCACACGGCATGTGAATAAAGCCGATCTTCTGCAGTAGGTCATACAGCCTCTCTACTGGCAGAGTAACAAACATTTTTGCATAAGACAGGTTGTTATTCAGTACTTGAAGTAGAACTGGATTTCCTGGACTTTTCTTATGAAATAAATAGGAAGTGAGCTTTTCTTGTAAAACTGGAAGCTACTTCCAAGTTTTTGCTCCAAATTGACTTAGCAAAACAAAGGCAAAGTTATGGTCTTTGAACATGTGCCAATCCAATTTTAAAAGAGACAGGAAACTGGGAAGGTTAACTTTACACCGGTGCCATGCAAGGTTCCAAGAATCTGAGCATTTTAAACAGTTTTAGAAATGCAGTTCAGACTTAATCAGAGGCAGCTTGGGATATTACAAATTATATTTAGCTTCTCTAAAAACATTGTCTTAACTCAAATGTTCCCCAAGCCATTATTTTCATTAGGAGTGAGCCGCAGGCACCTTCCTATCCCCACCCTACAAAGGAGTAGTGCAAAGGCAACAGGTGGGTTTGTGTGGACAACTCTTTTTCACGTAACAAGAGACGAAAGGAATGTGTGGAAATGTGGAGGGGCAATCGGTTCAACAATTAAAATTAAAAGAACTGCGCTGCAAAGCAGGCGATATCGCTGCCTCCCTCTTTCGCTACATCTACTCTGCCGCTTACCCCATTTCCCGTTGATTTTCCAATGACAGCTAGGAAAGGATCGCTGGCCACTCTGCCCACACCAGCCTCTGCTCAGCCTTGCTTTGTCTTTCCCCTGGCCGCTGAAACACAGGGCTGAACTGGCCAGGCAAAACTATCTATCTCGAATAGCTGTCAGTTACACTTATGCAAGTATAAATACACAATTTTCAGTGGCCAAAGGTTAGACTATAAAATATGCCCCCATATTGGGGTTGTGGGGGGGTTTTTTAAGTCTCTGGACCCCCCCTCCCCCATCAGTAAATGAAAAGGAGTAGAGTTTGGAGTGGCAAGGGAGAAACAAGATGTGTTCTGCCACAACCGTCACTGGGACACATGGCAGAGCCGCCTGGTGGACAGCGAGGAGAGAGAGCACTACACATGTGAGCCTGTTTGTCCATCAGGCACACTAGGGGTTGCTCAGCAAACAACCAACCCACTGGGTTCATTCACCGGGGGGGGGGGATTAGTGTGCCATGTGAAGTCACCCGTTCTTTTCCCTTTTTTTGTACAATAGTATATAATGCAGTAGAGAGAAAGCAAGTGTCAAAGCCCCAACTGGCTCGGGGCCAGGATATCTGAGGGAACATCTTCCTCCATATCTGCTTTCCCAAGCACGAAGATCTTCCATGGAGCCCTTCTCTGAATGGTTCCCTAGTGAAGGGAGGGGGGAACTGGCTAGGAGAAGGGCCTTCTCTGTGATTGCACTCTGTTTATGGAACACCCTTCCCAAGGAAGGGTGCCTGGCACCATCGCTGTTTGCTTTTTGGCACCAGGTAAAGGTGTTTCTATTTAGTAAGGCATTTTAGTAGCTTTTGGCTTTAACATTATTTTAAATCTCTATCACTGTGTGATTTGTTATTTGTCGATCGCTAGTTTAGTATTGCTTTAATTAGATTTTATGTTTTTAATTGTTCCTTTTGGTTTTATTGTAAGCCACCTAGAGAACACATTGGGCCATGGGATGACATATACACGCAATAAATAAATAAACCATAGCATGGAGTGCATGTGACAGACTGCTGATTCCCCCCCCCTTTACCAATAGGGGAAAACATTTATTTAAATTGGTCACAAAATAAGAGTAATAAATTCTAAAATGATTTTTTGGTCCACGTTTCATATTCCAAATAGATTTTACTGTTAAAGGTCATGCTGGTTTTTCTAATGGTTGATTTGTTTCTTTTTGCTCAATCCTCAAATCTCCCTCCCTATGAATGCTTAGCTTCACTGGACTGAGTAAGCAGGGATACAACTAAAAAGGGTTCTCACTTGATATAGGATCTGAGGCCATCGCATGAAGCTTGTTTCAGATCCTGGTTAAACAGGAACCATGGTTAATCCTAACGAGTAACGTTACTAAAGGCACACCCAGTGAACTATTATTGGGCCACTGTCCTCCTTCCTCATGCAATCGTAGGGAAGTTGAGATGACATCTTCAGTTGTGGCTACTGAAGTTTGCTCTTTGCCCACACTTCTATTTGGATATACTTCTATTTGGATATTTGCCCACACTTCTATTTGGTAGATGGGTTGCATAAACTTGGGGGATATTTGCTATTTACTTAATGAATAGCACACAGATATGGGGTGAGAAAAAGGAGACAGAAGCAAAAAAAGGATCTAAGGCCTACACAAAAGTAAACCTTCTTAGGGTAAGCTTCAAAGTAAAGTAGTAAGAGGAACTGTCCACAGGTATGATGATTACTTACTGCTATTGGATTCCAAACACTGTTCAATTATATTAATTACTACAAGCATACAGAACTAGTCAGTCGATAGTTTATGTACAGTGTGTTACATATGAGGACACTGCAGCTCTTGGTTAAAGTACAGGCACTAAGTCCATGTTTTGAGGACTTGCTTTGCAGAGATAATTCTTCCAGGCAACCTTGTTCACTTACATGCAAATAGTTTTAGTTGCTTTTTCAAAGTTTCTAATCAATCTTCATTGTATTCTGATATCCCAGATTTCTTTTTGCTCAATCCTCAAATCTCCCTCTCTATGAATGACTTGCCCAAATGTATTCTCAGTTCTTCAACTGTTTACATTCCATGTTCTAATCTTTCTCCATTTCCAAATTACCATATGTATAAAGACACTGTGTGACATGCAAACTGTTCTATTAGTCCTCTAAGTAATACATGACCAGTACAATAACTAGTCTAAAACATGTTTTGTCCACATGTAATTTCAGTTCTTCGATAAAGAACTGCTGAGAGCAAGGTGTAGCTTCAACCTGAAGACCATAAACTTATTTTTCAGGTTGCTTTATACTATAAAAGTTAAATTATAACATACAAGATAATATAGAGAAAATGTCCAGAAAATTCTGGTATGCTATACACATGCTATTTACAGTGAAAAGATTAGGGTAAGGATTACCCTAATTATTAAAAGTATTCATGGTTCTCTTTTCTTCAGGGCTACTAGATGTGAAAATTTCAACTGCAAGGTAGGCAGGAGCTACCTACGAATTTTCCTGGAGGTAGCCAGTCATATGCTAAAGCACAAGAAAAGAAAAATACCCCCCTCCCCACAGCCTGGGGGCTGAGACAAAGCCCTGGGGAAGCAAGGAAGATCCACAGTTGGAGCATGTGATCAATACATATCCTGCCTATGGGTACTTGGCCTCCAGATCATACTAGGGACTGAACAAGTCAGACGAAGCTAAAACCTGCTGCTATTAATAAACTCCAAGTACCGAGGATTTACTCTATGGTCTGATGGACATTAAAATATCCTACATAACAATCAAAACTGCTAACACAGACAACAGCATCCTTATCTCACTGGACTACTGGGAGTGGGAGAGGCTGCAGACATCTCTCACGTACAACTTTGCTTATGCAAAGCACAGTGTGTATACACTGGTATGAAGTGAGGAGGAACAGAAGGAGAGAGCAGTCTTACTGTGAGATTGTTTTGATTATACATGATTGTATTTACAAGAGTGAAAAACCTTCCCACTAATAAGACAGCACCTTCCCCAAACAGTTGCTCAGGTGTATGCCCACCAATTCTTAGTAACAGTCACACAGTAAAATAGGCTAGTATAATCTCCATATCTCAACAGAGGGAGGCAGTACGGTAGACTGTAAGGTGAGCAGATGGTGGCTCGTCACCCAGCAGATGAATAGGTAAACTGACAGTTGAAGTGTGTCCTGAAACAGTGTCACAGAATGTGAACAGCTCCTTGAAATACTGGACAACACTTTGTCGCTCTACTGAATAGTCCATTTACACCTACTGATCCTTACTAATGTCCTAGGACTTCATACTTCCAGAACTTTTGATAGCCTAATGAAAGATTTTAGTCTGCGCGGGGGGGGAGGGGGGGGAGGTGATTCTTCACAGCCTTATTAGAAACAATTTACAAAAAGTATTCTATTGAAAACTCTAATTCAGAAAAAAAAGTTGGACTAAATACCTCAGTCTGACCTTCATGGGCACTGGATTCATGCGTAACACGGATAGCCTGAAATTTCAAAATGAATAATTAGCCTAGATGCACGTGCACATGATACCAAAATGTTCAAGCTTATTGTCTAAAGCACTATCATGAATTCTGTGTAATCAGGTATCCACAATTAATGAAATCATTCAGCTTCATGTCCAAAATGGCACTGTAATACCACAGTCATTCACCGTGAAAGAAGGAAGCCCAGGTGGTCCTCCTGCTTCACGCGCAGGTGAGAAGAACTGTGGCTCTTTCTCAATCGTTAATGCCACCTGCTATTTTCCCTCTGGGTGCCTAGTCCACTGCCAATCAAGCACTCCCATGTTTTCCAGTCCTGCTACTAGAGAACCTACAAAATGAGGTGCTCACAAAGGCCAGCCATAGAATACAACTGCCCTGCATTACATTGCCAAGCCACAAACCCTCTATTAGTTTTCTTTTCAGTGAGACAATATTCATCTAAATACCAGAAAGTACACTGAGAAAAATACCGTGTCCCCATTTTAACCCTGTTCATTTGCATCAAAAGCTTTTCTCTGTCTTTATTGTACACCGTGTACTTTTAGGTGCTTTAGACATTAATAACAATGCCTATATACTTGAATCTGCGGAGTATAAACATTGTGGAGTATAAACAATCCAAAACATTGTCGAAAAGTTAACGGGTCTGCAAGCTGACAGGCACATTTGATATTCTGAAGTTCTGCTGTTTCACCACAGCAGAGGAAGAAAATACACACCAAAGTTATTTTTTCTTTCTAGTAATGAGTGGACACTTGTATGTACTAAGTCACAAATACTTAGGTTTCCTTCGGTAATGCAGCAAAAGCGGCATCTCTTGATAATTTGACATAGCACAAGTTTAAAAATAAGTCATGCCTTTGCTAAATGGAAGGCAATGGCCAGAGCAATCCTATGACATCTGGAGAGCATCTGAAGGACCAGCGGATCGTAGAGCTTCCCAGCTCCAAGGCAAGGCATGAGCGCCGACTACAGAGCTGGGGATTTATGCTTGGATCCCCCTCCCCCATGTTTGTAATCTGTCCAAAAAGAACTGCATCGGCTGAGTTTCCAAGGCCCGAAGACCAACCTCAGATTGATTGATTGATCGATCAATTGATCTATCTAGGAAACTTCTATGCCACCCCATTCGCTGAAGCCTCAGGATGGCTCACAACAAGAAATAACAAGAAATAACAACAACAACAATATAAAAACAATATAATTGGAGCCGTCCTGGCCAAAGATGTAAAATCAATAAATCATATTAAATCATATTAACAATTAAAATGCTAATTTTAATTAAATTAAATTAAATCTAAATTAAAAATGTTTAATTTAAAACAATTAAAATTAAAGAGATATGGGATGGAGAGTGCATTCTGTGGTGCGAGGACGGAGGGAGACCGGCTAGGATGCGATGCATGCAAGGGCATTCCAGCCTCCTTTCCTCCCCATCCAAAGTGCCTCAGGTATGCAGTTGTCTAGCCGATTTGCAGGGTGGAAGAGGCACAAAGGAATACATCACCTCCATGCTACCACCACCCTGCTCGCAATTCCTCACATCCCGTGTGAGCATCCCCACTGGACCATGCCCGGCGACATGATTTGAATCGTTTGACATCCTTCATCGTTGTGCCCGAGACCCTGTGCTGGCCTGGCCACCCCTCTTCACGGGCCCTACGAGCTCATTAGAAAGCCACCAGCCTTGTGCTTCCCAAGTAGAGAGTGAGGAAAGATACTGACTTCATAGGTTTCTAGATATTTGGCTCTCTCTTCAGGGCTCATGGGCACTGAAGCATCTAGGAATTTCTTCAGCGAGGAGTTCTCTTCTACAACAAAATAAGAAACAATTTTAAAATGTAAAATTCTCCATGTTGTCATCATTGCCTTCATCATAGATTACAGTGACATGGAAAAGCAATTTCAGACTATATTGAAATCCAGCAAGGTAGTTTAAGTCTTTAACACTGTTCCAGTTAGCTTCTCCTTAAGGGAATACATAAACACAAGCAAACCAAAGAAATGATAAACCGGTTGCTCTCCTTCATTCCACTATGTGAGCTGGGGCAACGGTGAGTGTTGGATTAGGGGGCCTGGGAGATCTGTCGCTACTCTCCGTTTGGCCAGGAAGCTCCCCAGGTGACTTTCAACCAGCACTCGCTATCAGGCTAATTAACCTCATGCGGTTTTTGCTGTGGATTAAAATGGAGCTAAATAAGCTGCTTTGGGTTCCTCACAGAAGGAACGAAGGTGGGATACACATCAGTCAACAACAGTACTACTAATACTTTGGAAATCCAGTAAGAACATGAAACCTGTTCCAGGTATAATTTGCAGCCAGATTATCCTATTGGTAGGGTGCAGTGATTCTGGTAGCCTCAAACTTGCGGGGGTCTCACTTTTTCACTGCCAAGGTCATTCTATCCCAAATTCTCTCTCTGTATTTTCCAAAATGAGTGTACGTCAAACACATTTGATTTCTTGATGCAATGCAACAACTCTCATTTGCAAGTTTTCCTCACTCCGAGGTGATAAGTTGTTCAGGAGTGCCACCTACCCTTCAAACCCATAATGGCAGCATAGAAAAATGATGTAGTTACCAAAGCTAATTTTATCTCTGTTGTTTGCAATAGCATGAATAAGCCCAATAGTTCCACAGGCATTGCTGATTGTTTGCTTCATGAAATATACTGATGGTTTTACTTCTTGTCCCTGAGCTTTTATTTTCTCTTCCTCTTCTGTTCGGAATGTTTCATACTAGAAGATAAAATTTCAAAGACATTTGTATTTTAACATTCTGGTTTTTTTTTAAAAAAAAATCAGTTCAAGAACATAAAAACCATGTTCACATATTACGCTAAGCCATCCTGTGAATAAGCCACAGTGTGTTGGTTGTTCACAGGCTGAATGTGGATTGTTCCCTCTCTTGGCTAATTGGCTTGTATCCCAGCAGAACTCATTTGATCTCCCCCACCCTACTCCAAGTGAGATTCACTGCTATTGTGTGTGTGCACGCGCGTGAGCGACACACACACACACACACACAGAGGCTATTTTCCCCCAGAGCATCAAAATGTGTGATTGGGGTTTTCACTTTTCTTTAAAAATATTTACCCTTAGTATGTTGCACCGTCATGTTCAGAATTTTCTATCTTGAAACTCTATTTTTTTAAAATTAAATAACCTGGGAATGACTGGGAAATATGGAGGGTCAATATAATGCTTCTCCATGTACTTCCCAGTCATGAAATTTGCATATATTTTCTAGTTTAAAAAAACCAAACTTTCCAGTTAAAAAGCCCTCAAAAGTACAGAAACTGGCACCACAAATGGGGCACCAACAGGGCTTATGCCACTCCTTTTGACCATGCTCTGTTCCATCCAGCCACCTTGTCATGTTTTTTAAACTGTCAGAGAGCCAAAGTAATCACAGCAATAAGTGCTCCAAAAATTAATCATGAAAAGGCAGAGCAGCTGGAGAATAGAGTGGAGTGCTGAAAATACACAGGGCACTCAGAACTTGAGACCTGAAATCAACACTTGAAATCAAGAGCATTATGTTGCTACGGAACAGATCTTGTTGCCACCCTCTTTGCGGTACACCTACTTTCCCCCCTTAATCAGAGATCGTTAACTGAGAGCTTGGCAACAGTCCAAAAATTAGCCTTATCAATTTCTATTTATAGTACCAAATAGACTTTGTTCCCTTTGACAGCTGAAATGTAAGGACATCAGCCAGGAAAGACTACAGACAGTATGTATGTGCCCACTCGTGGAAGACCACCACCAACAAAAATAGGACATTTATGTAGATTACTGGGGCCAAAAACCCCACAACTGACCCCAAAGCACTGCTTGGGCATCAGTGGAGAAGATGTCACTGGAGGCAGCATGTGTGGGATCATGAAAAGGAGCCAAGGTGGTGTTACTGTTGCTGAGTGGCTCCATGCAATTCATGATGTTATTTCTCAGATTCAGGCTCTAAATAAGCCATGAGTTATCAGGGCTGTTTCCAAATAAGCTAACATGCCAAAATCAGTTTGAGTTCAGATGACGTCACAATGCACCGTTACCCTATGATGAGTTGCCATGTTGTATGAACCCATGCCTAAATGCTTGCCAAATTTTCCTTGAAGAGGGAAAAAGGCTGGATATAAGTACAATGATTGAATGAATGAAAGAAATGATTAAACACAACCTAGGAATAAAGTTTGGTCTAAATTTTGAAATATTTTACTGGTTGTAGAGTTCTGTGCACCTTTCATTTCTCTCCCATCACCCATTTTACTTTCAAATTTCAGCATATGTACATCAAATACCATTTATGTTATGCTCTGGGCATGTGAAATTTTACTGAGCCAAATACTCCATGCAATTTTACCAACAATGAATAAAAGCGAAATGCAATTTTTGTCAACAAAGGCCAGCTAAACGTAACTGGTTTTCAAATCATCTGCCCGGTGTTTAAAGCCTATGTTGCCTTTCCCTTTGTTGAATTAAATTCAAAGCGCACAACAGCTGCTGTGTCCATCAAACGAGCACTCCATTTTCACAGAAGATAAAGGTGTTAATCTTTAGCTCTCCGTTTCCTATAAAGCATTGCAGAGCTCAACAAAATAAATGCATGTTCTACAAATGCTTTACATTTCCAAATATTTTTAAATGACCATGCACATGACCATCTCCCTCCACCCCCCCCGCCCGGCCCCAAATTTCAACAATGAAAATGCGCAGCAACTAGGAACTAAGACTGTGATCCAACTGAAGTGATCTTAATGTACAATCCTTTTCACACTGGCTGGGACAAGCAGGAAGCCGTAGGTCTTTGTTCTGCCCAGACAGCCATATCATTGTGTGGCTGCCTGATTGATTAGTGTACATTCTTGCACATGGAAAAACAACAATAGTTTGCAGTTAGATGATGTGCACACAATATTAAAAGACATTTGCCCTTCCACTAGGACAGTGCCTACCTTCGGTGGTTTTAGTAAGACCTGCTGCCCAATTAACATGTGCTCTTTTAGTAGATCAGAATGTTTCAAATTATCAGACTGAGCAATCACACAGCGCAGCCCTACCTAAGAACCTCAACATGTTAGCACAGGCTTGGGCCTGTAATGCCTACTATGTAAACAATGTTATCATGCATATCCTGAAGGCCAACAGCCCAATACTTCACTGTGCTTCTTCCAAAGCTGCGGGGTGACTTATCCAAACAAAGGTCTGAAAAAACAAACTTTTAAAGCACTGTTAAGGCTGGATCAGATAGTAATAAACTGTCATCAATACCAGCTTGTAAATAGCCATGCCTGAAAAAAGGACCTAGATAGGAAGTTCCCGTAAACTATGCAAGGATTTTCTATTTTCAGGTTGTGTATAGACTAGTGGACTTCTATTTGAAGAGCCTTTGCAAATGTGAGGAGGAATATATTTTATGCACTTTGGAGGGGGGAGATTTATTTGAAAATGATCACAATGAAGATGTAGGTATTTCTGCCTTAAATACTCAACAATTAACATTCCAAATAAGTGGTACACATTTATCTTTTTATATGCATTTAAAAAATACTGTGATAAAAGTAGGGCTAAGTAAGAGCCATGTTTATTTATACCTACTACAAAGATTACTAATTGTAGGCCTATTATAAGTTCTAAAGGGTACACACACCTATAGGAGCACATCCTGGTTGCAGGCAAGTCCCTGAACTAAATTTTTCTTGTTTGGAAATCAATATAATCTGTGGTTTAACAAATCAGAACCAGGCACGTGAGACAAAGGGAAGAATGAAGAACAAGCATTCATTCTGCTTAGTCCCAATGTAAGATTGTGATGGCTGAATCAACCCAACATCTCCTTTTTAAAACTCATTTCAGAGACCCAAAGAAAAGTTCTTATAATCAGGTAGGTAGCTGTGTTAGGGATCAGTAATAGTTACCTTTTCTGTTACTGGGAAGAGGAGAAGAATAGCACAAACAGGTCTTGGCACCATGCTAAGTAGTTCTGGATCCATACCATACACATCCACGAATTGCCAGTTAGGATGTATTCCCAGTTGCCTGAGAAACTAGCACAAAAATGAAATATATCTATTAATAAGCATCATCAATAACAACAATTTTATGAAGATCTTATAGTCTGGGCCTTTTAGTATGGTTGAGAATGGCTTGCATGATTGTTAGAGAAAAGCAGTAATAAATAGTAGGGAAATTGAATTTTCTTTAGTACAAGGAAAAATTATTTGCTTCTGGAAGAGTAGGTGCCATCATAAATATGGCTGGAATTCAGAGAGCAATATGCTAACCCTAACCCCAACCCCTATTTATTGTCATATCACGTTAGAGAAGCTACCTGGCCCTCTAAACAACATTGGTCTTACCGGCCATGGCATCCTTCTGGGATGCTTCACAAGGCTGGATCTATAAGACATTCCTTTAGGGTCAACCCGTGATAGTGTTGAGAATCTGCTGTTCCTCCCCAGATCCATTTACATAACGTCACTGGAGACTTGGGCTACAGTAGCAGTGGACTATTTATTTATTTATTTATTTAATTTTCGATTTATAACCTGCCCTTTTCCCGCAAAGGGCTCAAGGCAGCTTATATCTCCTCCTCCACCTTATCCCCACAACCACCACCCTGTGAGGTAGGTTGGGCTGAGAGTCTGTGACTGGCCCAAAGTCACCCAGTTGGCTCCATGGCTGAGCGGGGACTAGAACCCAGATCATCCGAGTCCCAGTCCCATGCTCTTAGCCACTACACCACACTGGCTTTCAATTTGTGGCTCTCTAGACATTGCGGTCCACACCTTGCATCACTTCTCTGGCTAGAGGTGATGAGATTTGCAGGCCAAAACATCTGGAGGGCCACGAGCTGCCCAGACTTCACTAAGCTGAAGCCACAAAGTTGACCTTTATTTTCCTTTGGATCCATTCAGATATTGCAGTAAGCCATAGTTTGTCAAGGAAGAAATTGGCTGCAATGAACCTCAGGCTTGGGCACTGCTCCCTCCTCTTCCAGCATGACTGCAAGGACATTTGAAGCTTTTATTTTTATTTTACTGCCGCTTGCCATTTTAGCTGACCTCTAAAAGCTTGCTTTTTATAACCACCTCAAGGTGAATCATAATTTAGGGTTCAGATGCAACAGGAAGTAGAGTTAATTGCTTCTGAACCTGTATTTGTTGATTTGCCAGTTATGCTCTTGCCTAGAGAAAACTAATCTGATGCTGGGTATTCAAGCCTTAATTACCTGTAGATTTGACTACTACAAGGGCTTCTGTGTGGGCTGCTTTAAAATTGATTTTAATAGTGCAGTTGATCCAAGCATAATATTATCTGCTGCTCAACCACCTCACTGTATTACTCTAAAATCATTCCACATTCACCTTTCCATTTCTCTCTGGATTCAATTTGAGATGCTAGTGTTAGTTTTTAAAGCCCTAACACGTTTTCACCACATTTAAGTTGGAAGACACTGTGAAATGCCCTCTCCAAGGAAGCCTAACCTGCATCAAAGTTGATGCATTTGACACCAGGGGAAGACCTTCTTATTTTCACAAGCCTTCCACTGCATCCTGAAGCTGGTTTTAATTGCTTATCTGTATTAGCTCTGTTCATTTTAATGCTTGGTAGGTTCTATGAAACTTAGTATCACATTACTCTTTTTATGATTCCTGGGAGTTTTGGCAACCTAAATGATGGCATATAGCCATTTTAACTAAATTAATAACAACTACTCATGTTATATTACAACCAAAGCTACTAACACACCTAGAATGATTGATAGACCAGACCAATGATGGTTATGCTGCCATGATGGTGGCCAGGTTTTCACACATGCACTCTTAATCCATGATAACATTTCTCCATTCAAGTCAAGCCCTTGCAACAGAGCGGTAAATGTCTATAGCAGTGTTGACTAAGGGATAATCCAGAGATGACACAGATACAGCAGAGCTAAACTTGCAATCCAGATCCAAATAGTGATGCTACAGGTTCTGACCAGTCACGCATACCTAGTTGCTTCTCATTTGGACTGCTATAGTTTTGAGAACTGTTCAGAGACCGGTTCTCCTGGGCGGTTGACCGGGGCCAGTCACAGGGAGCAGATGGCTCTTTGTTCCACAGCTTCCCTGTCTGTTCCCAGGCACAATTCAGAGTGCCGGTTATGCCCTGTACAGCTCAGCAACAGGGTAGCTGAAAGAGCTAACAAGGCTGCCTAGGACTTAGGATCTTTGGCAGAAACTCTTCATGCAAGACCACCACCCCTAGAGGTGCATTTGGTGATGATGCAAGAGAGGACCTCATCAGTGGCTAGTCCAGGCAAAGACTGCTTTCTTCAAGAAGGCCTGTGACCTGCGATGGTTCTGTGGGTCTATGGTTGGGCGCCGATTTCGTTCGACAACTGTTAGTTTTATTGTATTGCAATGTGTTTTATTGCTCCAATAAGACGTCTCAAGTGCTTTTTTCCTGCTAGAAAGGCATACAGAAATCATATATAAAGTCAGACCTTGGCCATTTTACACTATATGAATGAGTTCTGTAATCCTGCTCTGCTACCCCACTGCCAAAATTCATGCAGCAGATATAAATTTACAATGGAGACTTTATGGTGGAGGCATCATTCCACCTGTTCCGGAGCCTTCATCTGTTGGGAAACCCAGCAACATGCTATGGGAACAATCCGCTCACACTTCCATCATTCAGACTTGGAGTGGAAAAATTAAATGAAGTGCTTTGACAGTTTCTATGTAAACTCTGGCCTGATCTTAACACTAGGAGAGGGAGAGAAGCTGCAGAAGCAGCTGCCTAAATTTATCACTATACTCTGCAGAGTAGACCAAGGAAGTGGCAGAAGAAAACATTACAATCCTTGCAAACTATTCCTCCTTCCCACAGAAAGTCAGGCAACTGCTTAATTATAAGGCTGAGATCTATAGAGTAATGCAAGGGATAACCAGGAAAAGAAACATGAGGAGATACAGAAAGAACAGTATTAAATTAGTAACCAAAATGGGTTGGCTCAAGCAAGCAAAAAATAGAACCGAGGGTAGTTGTCTGCCAGACATTTCATGAGAGAAATGCATGGATGTGCTAGCTTTAGAGCAGGTCAGTTAATTTGCTATGAATGATCTTTTTCATCAGCTGATCATTCACCACCTCTTTTCCTTCTGTTGCATTCTCAGTGACACTCTGCAGCAGTGTCTTGAAAACGCCAGTACCCTGTGTAAGCAAAAGAGCTCTGCACAAATAAAACATGTTTCATCAATGTATCCAGCTGAGATTCACCATCAATTATATCCTTAATTCCATAGCTTAGAGACACTGTTCTAGAAACTTACCTTCCTGCTAACCCTATATTTAATCCTCTAACTTAAGTCTGGTAGCTAGGAACTCGCATTCATTTAGGCTTTTAATTTCTCCCCTCCTTATCCCTTTCACATACATTTCCAAAATTAAAGTTCTTCCTTCCATACCAGGCCTATGATCTTTTAATTGTCAACCTTCATTTCGAATTGCCTCATCTTCCTGGGTGTGTCACCTAGGATTGGTCATAGAGGACAAACTGGGAGGTACACAGGTGCATCAGAGCACAGGATCACGGAGGGCCTCCAAACTGAGGGCCGCTGGCACTACCAATTACAAGATACTGTGCAATTATGCTGCGTTTCCCTTCTTAACAGATCTTCTGTCTCTGGTAAGACAGAAGAACTGAGAAGACACAGGAAGGCTGCAAATAGAAAATGACGACATCTAGATGCTCCCCCAACCCTGGAAGGACACATGACAATTGTACAAAAAATGCACACTATCTATAGTCACACTGTCTCTAGTATACCTATATGAGGGAAATATTCATGAAACAGGATGGGGTTAGGTTAAGAGGCTGACAATGCAGAAGAACTGAACGTATGATGAGCCAAAATAAAACATTATAGAAGCAATAGGGACTGAGAACAAGCCAAGAAAATTAGAGGACAAGGAGCTATGGATACTTACACTTACAACTGTTACTCATGTTTAATGTTAACTCTTTAAAAGTAAAGCTATGGAACATTCATAATGTAGAAATGTTACTCATGCTATTGGTCGAACAACAGCGCTATACATTCCTCATAAGGAGGACTTAACGTGACCTAACCATGAAGCTATAGCAAAAGAGCATTCATTTCATTACAGGGAAAATGTAATCGTCTCTCTTTATTAACCCAGCTTCAGAAAAACAGAACTAAATTCAAAAGCCATCCTATCATAATTTATGAATATCCTAGTTATACAAGGGACAAAGGTTGCTTTCACAACACAACCTAGATTGGACATGTCACGAACTAGCTGTGGAGAACAAAATACAAGTTTTACACTTAAAATGAGTTTAGTCTCAAGTTAGCACATGAATGTCCCCATGACCAAATGCTCTCCATGCGTAGGCTGCAAGGGCAGGCAGGCAGACAAGTTTTGCTGGCCATTGCATAAGGTCTGAAAGTAGAAAAAGAAAACCAGCAGTGCACCTATCACAGTAAAGGAAACGCAAGGCTACTGTGGCCACCTGGAGGACTAATATTTTTACTCTCATTCAAGTTAATGGATTAGAGCCACCTTCTACGAAGTCATCCTGGTGGCCGACAGGAGAGGGGGAAACCCCTTTGTTTATCACCGCCTTGTTTATATAAGATAAGCCCCCTTATATATGCATGCAAACACACACACACACACACACACACACACAGAGAGGAAAAGTTCTAGGAAGCACCACGAAAAGTCCACGAAGGAGCAAAGCAGCAGCTCGCCCGGCAAGCCCCTGCAGAGCCTTCTCTTCAAGAAGAGAAAGGGCAGCTCACCTGGTTCGTCACCTGAAAAACGGGAGGGGGGGGGAGAGAGAAAGTAAAAATAAACGTCCAGCCTTGCAGCAAACACAAATAACCGCCCACTCAAGGCAACCCCGAAGCAGCCCCCGCGGGTGACTGACTGACTGATTGATTGATTCCTTCCTTCCCTCCCAGGCGCCCCCCGCCGCCCCTCCCCTCCCCCCGCCCCCTCTCGCCTCCCCGGGGGGGCTCGCCGCCCCCGCGCCCGGCCCGCTCACATCCGGGTTGGCCTCCAGCGGCAGCCAGCGGTGGGGCTCCATGGCCCGCGGGCGAGGCCGGCTCCGGGCAGGGGCGCAGAGGGCGCCGCGTCCACTCGCCAGCGCGCGCAGCCCCCGACTGGCAAGCGCAGCGCGCCGACCGGCGGCCGGCACCACCCCGCGCGCCCCGCCCCGCCCCGCCCCGCCCGCGGCTCGACGTGGGTCGTACCAACGGCGCGCGGGCCGGGGGGGGCGGCAAAGCGGCCTGCCGCCCCCCTCCCCCGCCCCCTCTGCTTTAACACCCTGAGGTCGAGGGAGGGTCCCGGCCAAGACTGCCTCCCCTGGGAAGGAGAGGGAGCGAACGGGGTACGCGCTGGATACGAGCTCGCTCATTTCCAGCTCTCCCGTCCCCTCATGAGCGTGGGCTCTCCCGCGCGCCTGGCCCCGCCCAGGAGGAGGGAGGCGTGTCCGAGGAGGGGCTGCCATGGCGAGCCGTCGCCTCGAGGGGGCGCCGCGCTTTCCACGTGAGCTTACCTGGGAATTACGTCCCCCGGTTCCGGGGGGCCCGTTCCTGAGTGAAAAGGCCTCGGGTGCGAATGCTGGCTTTTGCCAGTTGGCTGCAGAGGCTGTGATCTCTGCATATTGCCCGAACTAAAACAGGTCTTTCCTGGGATGCTTGTAATGTTATTCTGACATCTCCCCAAGCCTATACATGTCCGGCCAAACAAAAGGTGAGCGTGGCTGGATCAGCGCTGGAGCCCCGCATGAGGTGTCCAACAGCGGCCTGCCAAATGCTGCTGCTAGGAAGCTCCCAAAAGGGGAATGAAAGCAACGGCTGTCATGGTGTGCCGCACCATCTGGAATGCAGGTATACGGTCTCTGAATATGGAGCTCTCATTTCCTTTCTGCAATGCTTTTCTCCATATAATGTGGATAGAAAGCTTCTCCCACTAACGTTTTTCATATTTATAGCTTTATATTTGATTTTTGCAATCTTTCAAAACCAAACACCAGAGCGAAACCATATCCAGTACAAAACAAGAGCAATAACATAAACTGAAAGGGGGGGGGAGGGAGATACAGTAGCAATCAGAGACATATTCAACTAGTATTGAGAGTATTTCTAATACATATATATGCATACACACATACATGCACCTAGAGTCAAAGATCCTGCTCCACATGGCTAATATAAGTTGAGGTAGGTTGGTGGAATAAGAGTTGAGACGAAGTTGTCCTCAAAACAAGGGGCTAATCTTTGGGGTTTTCCATTCAAACAACTCTTGAGATAAGTCTTTGCAAAACATTTAACTTAAGAACATCAACTATCAAAGGATATTCATATATAAATCTAAAATGCAAGGCAAAAAATGTAGCTGTTCTACCCATCAAGAATATAGTTGTCAAAAAGGTCAGCTTGCTCCCTATACTTTTTATTAATCATTCTTGATTATACTGTTTAGACTGTTATCTAACTGTATACCTTTTGTACTGTAGCTCTGCATGGGATTTTCATAAGAAAAATCATCATGAAAGATAATTATATTTTATATAGTAATATATTCTCTCATAGGATGCCAGTGTTGTGAGGTCTTCCGTCCATTGTGTGGCTGGGGAAAATGATGTGACTTTCCAACTCTGTAATATGGGTTCACCATCGTAAGGGCTCATATGCTCTAGTGGCCAAAGGATAACCTCCAGGATGTGGGAACGCAACTCGGCAATACCTTGGACCAAAATGCAAGTTTCATTGGCACACAGTCAGCTAGCCAGCCATTTTCATTGGGCAGCACTCCTTGAGAAGAAGCCACATTGCCATTAAGGAATGATTCAGCCCATGTTATTGACCCGAGTTTCCAGAAAAACAGCCTGAGCATATATGACCTGATCATCCCAGATAACACTTGTTGACAGCAGCACTTCCTGCTGTCTTTTTAAAAAATAATTGTTTAATTAATGCATGCCATCGATTGTTTTGATACTGCATCAGCTTCCATGGAATATGTGCCATGCATCAAGGCTGAATCACACTCTCTGTGGCACCACAGTGTTTACAGCAACATGCAAATACGGAGGAAAGACGTCCATATTGCAACATACCGTGAATACACATGCAGGCTCTCCAGTACGTGTCCCTCCGCAAGTCCCTGGAAGTTTGGCATTTTCTCATTGTGTGCGTGTGTGTGTGTGCGTGTGTGTGAGCGGGGTTAGAGCAAATGTAAGAGGAGTGTTGCTGGATCAGGCCGAACAAGGGGCTTACAGTGTATCAAAAGATGCAGTGATGGCTACCGACCAGATGGCTCTGGACAAATTTGTGGAGGATAAGGCTCCCAGTGGCAACTTGTGATTGGCTGGGCAGCGTGAAGGCTCCCTGTCATTGGCCACTGAGGGGGAAGAAAGCTGGACAAGACAGGTGTCTGGCCCAATGGCTACTCTTATGTCCTTCTTTCTGGGGATGTCCCTCCCTTTCACATTGAAACTCTTAAAGAATCAAGTACCACATGCTATACAATGGTACCAATTAAGTGTGCATTGGTTTAATCATGCTTAGAATTTTACGATTCGTTATTATTATTTAATTAGATTATTTGTTATTTTGTAACTTGGCAGGCTGTGGGGGAATCCATCAGCAATGCCCATTCTACTGGAGAAAGGATGTTGTTATTATGTGCCATCAAGTCGTCTCTAACTTACGTCAATCTCTCCAGAATGTCCTGCCCATAATGGCCCCACTCAGCTCTTCCAAGCTCAAGACTGTGGCTTCCTTTATGGATTCCATCCATCCAAAATCATTTTCTTAGATACCCATCCATACAACCAGTGACCCAACCCTTCATATTTTATGCTTGTGCGGCATAAACTTGTGCCAACCAGATACTGTAGCAAGGTCTATGTCCCTTTGCATGCACAATTTATTCTGTAATAACTGCACTTTTATTACTTAGTAGCAGGCATCTGTACGTTTATTGCAGAATCAGTCATCTGAGATCTGCGGGAGAAGCCCTCCTGCGGGAACCCTCCGTGAAAGATATTAGAAGCCAAGTACCCGGAGGAGGACCTTCTCTGTGGTGGCACCCAATCTATGGAATTATTTGTTATTTGTTTTTCGGTGCCAGGCGAAGACCTTTTTATTTAAGCATCATTTTAATTGTTAATATTATTATTTTATCTGGCCAGGACAACTTATTTTATATTGTTATTTCTTGTATTTTAACCTAATGTTATAAGCCGCCCCGAGGCTTCGGCGAATGGGGCGGCATAGAAATGTTTTAATAAATAAATAAACAAAATAAATAAGATGCAGCTTTAAATGGAGGCAGGACCCAGGACTGCCTGCCCATTTCTGCAACTCTCACTATTCAGTATTTCAAAATACGAACCATAACCTAATAAAGAGGTTCAGAAGAGCACAGGAATCTTACACGCCTACGATGCAATGCTAACTCAGCTTCACTGAGAAGCGAATTGCATTGCATTCGATGCCATTCGCTCTGTTGTGGATGCAGCCCCACCAGCTCCTCCCGGGTCCCGGGGAAAATGAGTCTCCCCGACCCCGGAACGGGGCCGAGCCATAAAAATCCAAGGCCGGCGGCGTCAAAGGGGGAGGGAGCGCGCGATCCGTCCGCCAATGATCGGGAAGCACGGGAGGGAACGGCAGCCTCTGATTGGGTCGGGGGAAGGCTTCCGCGAAACGGTTGCTTTCCGCGGAGGGGCGTGGCTTCAGGGAGCCAATCAGGGAGCCGCGTGTCGCCGGCGGCTGAGGCGGGAGCCCGCCTCGCCTAGAGGGCGGATGGGCCGGGCTGTGCCCATGGCGGCGGGAGCTCCCGGGACGCCGTTCGAGCCGTGGGGTGAGTGCGAGCGGCCGCCGCCCGCTCTCGGGGCGGCCTGCGATCGGGGCGCGCTGCAGGATCCTGGGGGAGAGGGAGGAATGAGAGGGCGGAATGAGAGGGCCGCTTACCTGGCAGGTAGCCCCAGGTAGCCCTTGGAGGTAGCCCCTCCCACGGAACCGAACTTGCTTCGGAGTGAACGTGGCGTCCGCAGCGCTTGAGCTGCGTCCAGGGTTACCCCGGACTAGGCTTCAATCCCACCCGCCTGAATAGGCCTGCTCCAAGCGCGGCCAGCCCTGGGCACGGCCCTGGCAAGCGGCCCTTGAGCGCCCTCACCCGCCGGGCGAGGCCAGGCTGAGCGTGTGCACAGCTGCGCCGAGGCAGTCGTGGAAGCGTGCGAATGGCTTCTGACGATATCCGACCCGGGTCTCGAGCCTGGGGGATGGTTTCCCTTTGCTTTTGTCATAGCGATAAATATGCGTGCAAGATCATATATACCGTTTTAAAGCAGAGTCCAGTTGGGAGACTGGGCTAGTCTAACAAGAGCATTTCAGTTTTAGTAAATGCTTAAAACTCTGCTGGATGTAAGTAATACACAATTATTTGCTATACCAGAATTAGGAATAAATTGAACAGCAACCCTATCTAGCACAAAATATGAAAGAAGAAAGGCTAATCTGACAAGAAGACATTAGACGTAATTTTCTTCATCCTCTCTCTATCTTTCCTGGAGAAATTCTAAAAAATTTTCACTGTGTTGTGCTGTAGGAAGCTATTCTCTTTATACTCTTTTTTCTGATAGACCAAAAGAAGGTGCCTGCAATTCACTGAGGCATTTCTGGGTGTAGAAATGCATCAGAAAACAACTCAACATTATTTTCTTATATTCCACAGTTTACTAACCGCAGATGGGTAGGGAATGCTTTATTTACTTCCTAGTATTTGTCATTTTTCTATAATAATGAGTAAAAAAAAGTCTTAGTTGACTTTATCCAAACACATGACCAGTAGATCTAATGGCAAAATGGATAAAATGGTAGTTTATGTCTATTTGAAAGTCAAATACAATCCTTTCTATATCCAATAATACAACATATCTTTATTTTGTAGATTTTGGTAACACAGTTGACATAATCAAAACAATACCACAGGATTTGTTTGCAGAGCTAGTAAGTAACATTTGTCTGCGATCCTCCTTTCTATCAGTTATTTTAACTGATCTCACTCTATTGTGAATCTTTGTAATTCACTTCCTAGTGTTTTGGTTGTACAGTTAGTTCAGAAGAGCATGTAAACCAGAGCAAGGATCTCTCTGGTCAGGCAGCATGTTCACATCGTGGCCAAGGATCCCTCAAGCATGATGCAGGTGCACCAGCATCTGGAGGTGGCAGACCAGTAGGCATGGGTCACCTTCTCCTCCATAAATTGGCCCAGTCCCCTTTTAAAGCCATCTGAACTGGTGGCCATTGCTACTTCTGCTGGAAGTGAATTCCCTAGTTTAATGGTGTACCGTGTGAAGACATCTTTCCTTTTATCCCACCAATCTGTTTTATGACATGACCCTGGGTTCTAGTATGAAGGGTGAAGGAGATGTTTTGCTCTCTGCTTTCTCCAGAAAGCATATAATTTGAATGTCTCCCCCTGCTCTCATTTTTTCTCTAAGCTAAGCAGATTCAATGGTTGCAATGATTTCTAAAGGGGGAATTGCTTCAACTCCTTCATCTTTCTAGATGCCCTTCCCTACATATTTTCCAACTCAATAATGTCCTTTTTCAGGAGTGGAAACCAGAGCTGCACTCAATACTTTAAGTGGATTCACACTGAAGATTTGCATCAGGAGGACTTTTATTTAATTTCTATACTACCCTATAGCCAACACTCTCAGGGCAGTTTACAGCAACAAGCCTTTGCAGTTTAATTTTCCTGAATGGACACCTTTCCTAAATGCCTTTCCTAATCATGCCTGGCATGGAGTTTGTCTTTTCACAGCAGCAACATACAGGGTTGACACTGTCATCAAGTTTTCAGCCACAGTGCCAAGATCTCTTTCTTAATCAGTCATAGATCCAATCAGATTATACTTGAATTTTTGGATATGTTTCCCATCACTTTACACTTGCTTATATAGAACCGCAGGTGCCATTTTGATGCCCGTTTGCCCAGCTTGGAGAGATTCCTTTTGAGTCCTCACTTTGGTTTTAATGAGCTGAAATAGTTTGGTGTCATCAGAAAATTTGCCCATTTCATTGCTCACTCCTAATTCCAGATCATTTATAAGTAGACTGAGAACTTAAGCCTTAATAATGACCCTGTAGGACCCCATATGTCCCTCTTTTGGGAGATATTCCCATTCTCTGCTTTCTATTCCTTAAGCAGTTATTGATCCATAAAAGGATCTTCCCTCTTATTTCATGACACGGCTTGTTAATCATGCTGATGACCTTTTGGATTTTCTGCTGTTTCCTAACTTGTGATATGCATACCATCTGAACTCATATTATTGTAGTTTTGCATAATAGCCAAGTACTTTGGAAGGATTAATGCGCTTTACTCCTCTGATCAACTTCCTTTTTGTCAGTTCCGTCATGTTCTAGAAGTCTCCTCTTGAAATTGTACCTTGATGTAGTTCCATAAGAGGAAAACAAGGAATCAGGTTACAAAATTGCCTTCACATAAGAGAGTCTGGAACCATGTTGCCTCTAAGTAAGACTTTTTCTGGCTGCCCTTAAGATGCGGACTTAGGCCTGCCCTCAAAACTAGGAACTAGGAATATGTCTGCCATTTTTAAATTTTATATATGAACACTAAAAGCAAAGGAATATATATTCTTTTCAAGAAAATATGCTTTTAAATTGCACTTAAAATTAACAAGCCATTACTAGTTAACAGTTATTGAATTTTGTTTTCTGTGCAGTGTGAACAAAATATCCGATATCTCAAATGCCAGATCCCAGCTGTAAATACAATAGAACTCTGTCAGGTAAGCTGCATTTCTAGTAGAAACATGAAAGTGATATTGCATGCAGGTGGCAACTCACATTCTAATTTGTTTTCAGTTTCAGTTATACACTGTGTTTTTTCCCTAGAGATTTCAAGCCGCTGGGATTGAGATTGTCACTAGTGACTTGGTAAAAGTAGTTAATGCCATTTTCTTTATATTCAGGTAAGCAAGATCAGTTCTTGGTTCCCCTTTAATTTCTCAGAAAAAGTCTATTTTCTTTTCTCCGTAGCATAATCAATGGCAAGAGTATTTAGAAGATAAGTGGAAGCTATTTGATTAAATAATTTTATAATTATTCCTGATCTCATGAATATGTCCCCTTAATTTGCTAGGTCCTTGTACTGTGAGCTGTGATTTTGTAATTAAAAGTATTCATTTAACTTATAAGGTAGGTTTCTTGAACGTACTTTCTCACTCAAGAGAACTTGGAAAGTCTAAATGTGCATTTTGACTGATGCTCTTTAGGGCAAATTCATGACCTAAGATACAAACAAGGGCACCTAAGCTTTTCAGACAACTTTCGAGTGCTCATCTTCCTATTGTCTTAATGGAAGAGAGGGTAGCTAAAGGTCTAGTTTTCACTCAGTCACCTGCTGTGTTTGGACTATACCAATTGTATCTTCAGCTGAAGGTTTGCTAGGCTGAATGATCTTCAGTAGAAAAAGGTACCCTGCATATAAAAACTTGATATATCAAGCCTAGAGACCATAAGCTCTACAAACTGAGATATATTTAGTTTGAAATACCTGGAATTGTGTGGGTCGTGGGGTGATGGTTAGATTTTCTACCAATAGACTATGGATCAGTTTATTCTGTTAAGTTCTAATTTCTATTCAGCTGATGGTTTTCAAGTTGCAGTTCCTCAAAGTGAAGCTCCATAAGATACTTGCCCACTATTATTAATATTAATTTACAACTTGCATTTACCAGTAAACACTTGGAATGCTATTTTGGTGTGTTCGATTGCAGCCTCAGTTTGTGCATAACGGTGGGATCTGGGTTATGCCCCAGGATCTTCTACAGTGGGGGTATGCAGGAAATAAAATTTCACATGTTTTAGATTTAACTGTTGTACTCCGCTTTAATTATTCGACATCGCCCAGAACTTCAGCTATGAGATAGCATAGAAATATAGCTAATAAAATTAACTTCAAGCATTCCTGGCTGTCTCCCATCTTGGAAAAGCTTCTGGGTGTTGACATCCTGCATTAACTGGAGCTCTGCATACTGCCAGCCCTTGTTCTACAGTACGTGGAAGTTACATGGTGTACATCAGGGATGGGGAATGAGTGGTGCTGTATGTGTTGTTGGACTGTAACTCCTATCATCCTTCATCACTGGCAATGTTGACTAGGGAAGATGAGAGATACAGACCACCAACGCATTAATGTGCTGATGAAAGCGACACATGCAAAGGCGAAAAGCTTCCCCTGAAGATGCAGAGTTCGAACCCCATCAGGGCCGGACGATGCATCTGCTTCACCTACTTCACGGTGCTTTTGGTGCATCGTCATGTGTAACATTTGAATAGAATAACAGCAGAATGGCTGTCTTTATTTCCGCAGAGAGGAAGTGGGCTACAAAAATGATGCATCAGAGACCCCAAACATTTTTGGACCCATGGACGCATCTGGGAAATTGAGAATTTGCTGTGGGTGCTACCACAGACTCCTCAAGTAAACTTAGGTTCATCCATTCATCAGCCAAGCTTAAGTTTCATGTCTCCTGGACACTACAATGTCTCCTTCATAAGGGATTGTCTGATTCGTCTAATGCCTCTTCCAAACACAGTATTTTTGGTGCTGTCCAACAGTTGTTTCCCTTTGGGGAGGAGAGTATTACAGGGACAAATTTTGTACTAGAACAGTCATTAAGTTTTACTGACCTGCATGCTCTCTTAAATTAGTTACCTGTTTAATGGAAATTAACAAATGCAAAGGGAAATGGGTCTTTCTGACTACTAAAAGGCATGATATTACAGCACCAGAAGAAAAAGCATTCACTGCCTATAAGGCAAAGAACTTGCAACATTATAATGGTTTAGATAACAAAAAGATGGCATTATATGCTAACTTCAAATGGATACTTCCCTGGATATTTTGTTTGCTTTGGTTTAATTACTAGAAAGTGGCATGCATTTCATACAAATCCATGTAATTTTATTTTAAAAGGAAATAATTAAAATATTTTGGGCATCTGCAGACACTCTGGGTGCCACTGAAGACCCTGTGATAAATAAAGCATTCATTTCCTTAAAATACACATTTCTAAAAATACGGCGCATGTCTGACTTCCTGGAAAGAACAAAATTAAAAGTATTTTTTAATTTAAAATGGATAGGTAAGGCTCTGTATGTGTTTCTACTTTTATAGCACAGCAGCAAAAAATAAACTCTCATCAGAAGAACTCTCCATCAAACTAGGCCATTCAGTCAATGCTGTGCCAAAACAAGCTATACAGGTTATTCGGCACTTCTGGAATGAACAGGGGAGATCTGTCACAGCATCAGAAGAGGCAAAGAGCGTTTCTGCTCTCGGACAGGTAAGCTTCCACCCAATGGAAGTTCTTACTGCAATAGCCTCCTTTAGTTAAGCTCTGGTGTAACATGATCAGGAGTATCATTTTCCCTTGGAGAACTTGCCTTCTTATACTAAGCGCTAAATTTTATTTATAGAAGTAAACTTTTTATCTGAGGCCAAATTTCCTGAATCCCCAGCCCAGGCAAATGTCCCTACAACCAGGTTTTGCTTTGGTGACAAGTATCTTCTGGCTGCATGGAGAGTTTATCCCGGTGGTGACTGCATCTGCAGATCATCTTCCTGTGGCAAGATCTTGGGGTAGCCCTTGGCGTAACGCAGCTCCCTGCTGCTGATCTTCACCAGCCATTGATGAGTTATTCCACAGAGGAAGAATAGCTCAGTGCCCAAGCCTACGCTTGCGCCGCAGCTTGCTTTTTGGTTATTTGCCGACACTTTGCAGCAGCCAGCAGAACTTCTCGGTGTCTCTCTGCAGACAAACTCACCATCATTTCTCAGCCCTTCTTTCCACCTAGCTAGCATCCCCAGTCAATCACCGCTGAATTTGCCTGATCCAGGTCCTAATTGTCTCTCTCTTGCCCTTCACAATGTCACTTAACATCTACTATTTATTTTACATTTTTAAAAGACTTTCTGGGTGGTTTACAAAGAAACATATCAGAGTGACAAGCGATTACAAAGTATTAAAAGCCAATCAAAAACAAATGCACAAAACTTGTCAACTCATGGTGACTGAGTGAAATTAATACATGGTATTGAAGTTCTGATAAAAACAATGTTTAAACCAATCCGTTCTGGTAAATAAAATGGATGGCACTAATACACAGGCTTTTAACAGAAGCAAACGTTGCCTCAGGCCTTCTCAGATACATTTTTGCAACACAAAGTACACACAACAGAACTACAATAGTTATATGCATGCATTTCTTCCTAGGTATGTTCTCCCAGCGCCAGCTGAGTCCCTAGTTTGATGCACAGCCTGGCATTCCCATGAGGATACTAAGCCCTGCTTCCTGAAGGGATTGAAGGGGTATCTGCAGGCGGCTAAGGAATCTCTGTGGGCCAACCGAGCCAGAAACTTGCCATCCCTGTTCTAAATTCTGCGTGCTGTTTGTTCACAGCCATGGAGCGATCCCTTGTCCTGCCTAGCATTCCCTGTAAACTGAGCCAATATGCAGGAATTCCTGAGCAAGTCCGTGTTCAGGGAAGGGGTTCTCTCAAGGCCCATAATCAGAAATCTCCCAGTTTATATATCAGCATTAATTTGCTAGTCCCAAAGAACTCAGTTGTCACAGCTGGCTCTGTTGCACGTGTCTGAAATAACTGTTTTTGGTGCTGCAGCTTGTTGACTTTCAGTGGAAGCTGGGCATGGCAGTGAGCTCCGACAGCTGTAAATCTTTGAAATCACCCTATGTTACAGTGACAGTGAAAGTGGTGGATGCTTCTGGGCACATCACAAGCAAAACGTTTGAAATGACCGTCCCACAGTTTCAGGTTTGTAATTTGCCTTCCTTTACCTTAATCTCTTGGACAGCTTTATTCCATTTACTTATTCAATCCAGTTATATACTGCCCAATAATTGGTCGGTATTTGTCCAAATGTAACAAATCAGCACTAGCCGAGAGGACTTAATTGATTCTCTGTGTTCTCTGGTAACCAGTCACTGAAAAAGATGCCAAAGGTAGTGCAACATAATATTCATTATCGTTAAGTGCCTTAAATGGTACGTATTAAGTGAACGTTGGCATCGGTATCGTATGCACCAGTCTTTTAGTTGAATGAGCGTCTGTAATAACCTAAACTCTAGAACTGGGAATAAGTCCTAGATTAGAGAATTTGTTGACATAAAATACAAATTTTGTTTTCTGTCTGAGAGCCAGTGTGGCATGCTGCTTCGAGTGTGGTACTGGGGACCTACCTGGGAGATCTGGGTTCTAGTCCTCTCTCAGCCATGAAGGCCGCTTTGTCACTTTAGGCTAGTCACAAACGCTTGGCCTAACCTACCTTACAAGGCTGTTGGGAGAATAAAAGTAGAATGGAGGAAAACTATGTAGTCCACCTTGGGTTCTTTGCAAGAGAGAAAAAGGCAGGAAACAAATCTACTACCTCTACTACATTTAATGCTTTCTCTGCTGTGCTGTACTGTACCCTACTGACAAACACATAAGTTTTTGCTTGTGGCCATTCAGATGCTGGAGAAAACAAATTGACAATTATTCTTGTTACAGCTGAGGGCAGCATGTGTTCTTGGCAAATCATGATCCAGTCCAAGAAGTAGCTGCTGAAAATTGTGTGTCCTTCCTTGGCTTATTTGAGCCTCTTTTTGGTTTGAAGATTAGGGGTCTCTTGTGATAAGTTCCCCATCCATACACGTCTGTCAGGTGACCTGCTAGTTAAACAGTTTTTACAATTTTTACAGAGTTTTCCAAGCATACAAACGGTTTAGTTAGCTGCCTTCTTTTCAGGAGTGTTCTAAGAGGGACTGATTAAACTGGAAAAATAAGCTTTGCCAAATCTCCATTGGACTATTAATAGCTGAGCATAGTTTCACATTTCAGACATGCATGTGGACTGTGTTTCAGGGATTCTGTAATGCACTGCTTGTCAAAGATAACAAACATGAAGTGGTATTCTACAGATACTGTGTTCTGCAAATTCATCTATTCTACATCAGGGAACTGGGCCTGACAATTTTGCAATGGCTTCTTCCCATATACTGCAGTGTAACCGCCAGTGTGGTGTAGTGCTTAAAAGCGTATTACTGGGACTCAGGCAACCTGGGTTCTAGTCCTCACTTGACCATGGGTCGAACTGGGTGACTCTGGGCCAGTCACAGAATAAGCCAGCCTACCTCACAGGGTTGTTGTAGGGATAAGCTTGAGAGCAGCAGCAGACGATTGATGTAAGCCGCTTTGAGCTGTAAGAATCTAACAGTGAATAATGTCCACTATTATATAATGACCTGGTGTAGCCAGGAAGTGTCCTGCTGGCTGATAGACTTCCCTTGTGCACAGGGTTTCCTTCTTTAAAGCACGCACCTGCCATTTTACTGTTTGTGACTGACTCTAAACTATTGCTTGCAACCATGCCTAGACATGGGGTTGCAAACGTGTTTTTTGACCCAAACCTGAAAAAGTTTGTGCAGATATAACTTGGCATCAAGGCTGTCTCCATAAAGAGCAGCGTCCCTATGCAAAGGAGGAGGGAAGGCAGAGTACACGAAGGGGCATTCGAAACGGCCCTGAATTTGAAGTGGCACATTGGAGCCAAACACTGTAAACTTACATCTTAGGCTTCCAGTGCAAAGTATTCATGTGTCCTTTCTTTTCTGTTTTCCATTTTAGAATTTCCACGAGCAGTTCAAGGAAATGGCAAGTGTTCTTGAGACCGTTTGAACTGCACTTCTGTAGTTCATTTAAACCAAAACGAACCCTTTTCATCTTGCCTATAAAACTTAATGGATCGTCTTAAAGAAAGATACGTAAGACCCTCAGCATTTGAATTTCCTTCCTGATTTTGTCCAGCCACAATTTCTTCTGGAAAGAATTATGAAGAACTGCAAGTGCTATAAGATACGTCTTGCTAATGGCAGAAATCATATATACATACATACATATATATGGATGTCTACGTCAAAATTATTTGTATGAGCATTCAGCCAGGAAGTCATGAATGGTTAGCATGGGGTCTATGAAAAAATAACATGCCACATGTACTTTTCATTATTTCATACCTTCTATTAAAATATTTAAGTAGTACAATTGTAGAAAATGTTGCATCTTTACCATTATGCAAATCTACTTTCCCCCCTCACATCTTGCATAGGCTCAGCAAACCACAGGGACAGCATCACTGGTTGTGGGAGAACGGACCCTCAGATAACCCAACTGCAACCCCGGGTTATTTGAGAGTTGTTTCCTCTTCCAATAAGCTGTGCCATCTGGATTGGGTAGCACAAGATTCATGCCCAGGGGGGTGACGGTGCAAGTTACGTGGGTTAAGCAAGCCACTGGGACTTGTCTTGCCTACGATGATTGTCTGATGTCTGAATTTGGAATGGTGGAATTTCACCCAAATGTGAGAAGGAACATTAATGACTCGCTGGAGGAAAGGCTGGGATTGGAGTTGCTCTTTCTCCATCTTCCTTCACTGCCTCCTGCTGTTGCAGGGGTGCTCTAGAAGTGGGCAACCTCATACCCTCCGGGAGCTCTGAATGCCAGCTCCCATCAGCCCCAGGCAGCATGGCCAAAGCTGAGCAATTGTGGGAGTTGTACTCCAGAGCATTGGGAAGGGCCGGTGAGCCTAGACTGAAAACCATTTCACAGATTGTGCATGTGATGAACAGATTTGATTGACTTGCTCAGCTTTTCCTTTTGTGACTCTCTCTTTTGTCGATGTGGCAACACTGGAAGCACTTCCGGTTATATGTAATACAATTGACTGAGAGCAAGAGCCTGTGCAGCATAGTGGTTAAGAATATGGGACTGGGATTCGGAAGATCTGCGTTCTAGTCCCCACTGGGCCATGGAACTCATGGGACGAATTGAGGATATTCTGCTGCAGTGTATTTCTCCTTCCAAGAGGGAAGGCTTTGCACTAGCACTGTAAGTCAATCTGTATTGGGAGCAGGCAGAGTCTTCATGCTGCTCTTCTCCTGGAAATTAGCACCATGCAAGTTCAAGAAGATCAACTGAGAAATTGTACATATAAAACAAAACAATGGTTTTTCCTAGAAGTGACTGTGGTTGAAATTAAATTTTCTCATGATTTGTGCTGACAAACCATTGTGCAAAAAACAAAACCCAACAAGCTATAGTACATCTGTGTCTCACAACTCAGGTTTATTTCCTGTCCCTTTAAAATGCTTAATGGCAAAATGTTTTCTGTTGTGTTAGGGTACAAGAACAGGATGGACAAAACTTTGATTGTGGTACGGCTCTGCCTGATTGCATCTCATTGCCAAGAAAATAAATGGCAACTTTTCCTAGTGGAGATATGTAACCAGTGGACTCCCGCAGACTTCTGTATTAAGACCATTGCTTTTCAACCATTCATAAATGACCTGGAATTAATAAATAAGTAGCAAAGTAGCCACATTTGCTGATGGCAGCAAATGATTTAGGATGGTCAAAACCAAGAGAGACTCTGAGGCACTCCAAGCTTAGAGAATGGGCATCAAATTGGCAAATGCAGTTAAATGTACGGAAATGTAAAGCAATGCATGTTAGGTCAAAAATCCCCATCTTCCAGCAAGCACTGATGTGATCTGAGCTAGCACTGACTGAGCAAGAAAGGATCTTGGGGTAGCAGCAGACAGGTTGATGAAAAAGTTGGCCCACTGTGCGGCTGCTGTGAAGAAGGCAAACTCCATGCTAGGCATCATCAGGACAGGACTAGAAATAGAATTGTCAGAACCTCACTTCCATTATACAGATCTTTGGTGCAACAGCACTTGGGATATTGTGCTCCGTTCTGGTCACCTTACTGGAAAAAAAGGCATTATTGAATTGGGAAAATGACAGATAAGGGCAACGAAAATTATCCGGGGGCAGAGAAACTTCCCTTTGAGAAGTGGCTACAACAACCGGGACTGCGCAAGCTTAGAAGAAAAGGGGAGACATGATCAAAGTGTTTAAAATAATGCATGGTGTGGAGAAAATAGAGAAGGAGGCATGTTGCTCCCTCTCCCATAACACTTGAACCCAGGCTCAACCCATGAAGTTGACTGGTGGGAGGTTTAGGACAGATAAAAGGAAGGATTTCTTCACACAGCGTATCGTTAAACTGTGGAATTCACTGCCACTGGAAGTGGTGCTGGCCGCCAGTCTGGGTGGCTTTAGAAAAGGATCGGTTCATGAGGAGGAGGCTGGCGGTGGCTACTAGCCTTGCTGGCCGTGTGCGACCTTGACCAGAAGTGGCCTGCCCTTCCTGCTTGAGGGGTCCCGAGGGCAGCTGGTTTGCCCCGTATGTACACAGCGCTGCACTAGATGGCCTGATCCAGCAGGCCTTTCCTTACGCTCTTACACATTCAGAAAAGCATTCTTGCCTCTGCAGAATTCCAACGGGAAGATATCCACAGCCATTCTGAATGTCAGCGGGCAATCAGCCAGAGACACGGAGGGCCAAACAGGCCTTGAAGTCGCTGGTGCTCTTGATGTCTGCGGCCGTGAGGATAAGCAGATGAGCGGCCCTGAAACCACAAGAGGGAAACATTGCGAAGCCTCTCCTTGAACAGAGCTATTTAAGGAAGTTCCACACAGCATCTTGTACTGGTTCTAGAAACAGACGGGCAAACTTCCTCATGAGAGCGATCGTGTCCCTGAGGTAATCACAGGAATTCCCCATTAGCTCTACACTTAAATCCACAATGCACTTTATTTCAGTACAGAGGGGAGAGGAGGTGGAAGAGCCCACTTTTGCCAGCCCCGAGGCCTCTCCCTTAATTTGGAGCCAATGCTTTATATACTCATTAATCATTAGGGTTGCTGAACACAACAAAGACTTTAAGGCCCTAGAAATCGAGGCTATGCATTTTGCAACTCGGCCTCCATCCACATGGCAAGTTTCAAAGACGCAGAAAAACCCACAAATCTCTTACATGGCTTCTTACTAAGCCTGACTACTGAAATGCTGCTTTAATTTTGCAGTAAATCTGCAGCAGGCAAGTCAGAAGGTCTTAATTGCAGGACGGCCCATCAAAGTCCAGCATATAAGCACTACTTGGCAAGGGTCAAGCAGAGGTTAGCCTCTCAGCCATTGCCGCCACTGGCCCGCCACTTGTCCTTGGAAGGTTATAACCTCTTGGCCGAGTGCCGCCACTGGCCCTTTGCTTGATCCTCGCCAAACGGTGCTTTCACGTTCGCCTTCTCATTAGGCAGCTTTTCGGGCTGTTCCCAGTCCTGACACAAAATGCCATTTGGAGCTTTAGAATTCTGCAATAGCCTGGTTCAGGAGGGACTTCACAAATATTGCTCCCTTCAAAGCTTATTTGGGACTCTATTTGTGAAATTCCATCCAAGGGGAGGCATGTCTTGCTGACTGCAGCTAACGTTAACAGAGGCTGCTGCTTAATATATTGCGGATGACGAACTCGCCTCTGTCCCTGCTAGGCCGCTCTGGCCAAGAGTCCCTTGCCAAGAGTCCTGGGATTGTCCAAGTCTTTGGGGCTGCAGGTGGCTTAGCCCTGCACAAGTGACAGGTGTTCGATCAAAGCAGCTGTGGGATCGATCTACATTTGGGGGACATATTTTTTGACGATGACCTGCTAGACAGGAGCGTAGGAGCCATGCTGTAGAAACTCCCATCAGTGTAAATCTGCCTTTACAAAAGAGGAGGATGAAGAGGATCGGAGAAGAATATTTTTAAAACTCAAAGCCTGTTTAAAAATTTTATCTGTAATGCTGCTATGCCACGTGTGCTTGAAGATTACAGCACAGTTAATGGATGGGAGGCTAAGCCAACCTTTGGATATTTTGTACAACAATTCCCAGGATTCCTGTCCACTGGCCATGTTGGCAGGGACTGACGGAAGCCACAGCTGAAATCATCTGGAAGGACATTACATTGGGATTAACTTAAAAGGAACTAAAAGCTTTTGATCTTACATACGTCCCAGTGCACGGACATGAGGTCGTGGCTTCCTGAGGCTTGTCCTATCCTACAGGGGTTTTTCTTGTACAGGAGAGTCAAGCTGGCATTTTTGTCTCTAGCACATGATCAGCTAGTCTTAACTGGAACTATGACCAATGCAATGAGGATTATTCTCTGCACTTCAGCACAGTACTTCAGTTCCTCCTTCCTCTGCCCCAGCAAACTGTCTTGTCCTCTAGAATCTGAGATGACTCTGGTAGGACACCTCTCCAGAAGAAATCTGCCTGTCCCTGTTGAAAAGCTGACTTGTCTCTCCTAAACTCGCCACCTGAGAAACTCAGTAACTGGTAGAGCAAGGCAATAGGAATTGCCTCTGCTGATGCATAATTTTGCTGAGTGACTGAATTACGCCATGCTTGTGACCACTGCAGATCCAGAAGTTTTAATTGTGCCCTGTAAGAAGGGAAAGCCAGAGCAACAAACCCTCAAGTGGCATGGAGGATACAGTGGACTCTCAGCTGCCTTGCATTTATTTCTTGCCAGTCACCATTCACCGACATCACAGGAGTGCGCACTCTGGCCCATAGTCTGGAGATTGCTGAAGTACCTCCAAGGAGACCCAAACAACAGAAGGTTGTTAATTGTGCCTATTCTCGCCTAAAACCTCCGTAAAACTTAGATATGAATAACCGAGGCTGACTTTCATGACTAAAAGGAGCCGCTAAAATTACAGAAACTTGCTCACAAGCCCTAGTGAAAATAGCTGCCACCAGGCTAACAAACGATAGGCGGATCAAAGGATAAGAAGCCAAATGATGAAATAAGTGGATAAGCCTGTCAAGAGATGAGGAGGATTATTGAAGGATTGAGGCAGCAAGTTCTCTGTGAGACAGCAAAGAGCATCATTTTATGGGCAGTCATGGACTTTCAGTCCCAACCATAAATATAGTTAGCTCAAGTAAAAGCCACTAGTTTCAATAGCGCTTGCTTTCAAATAAACAGGCAACCTTTAATATCTCAGAGAAGAAACTTTTCAAGGGAAATATTTACTTTCAGAGGGCAGGAAGAAGGTGACCAACGGCAGGCCTCTTCAGTGGTGACACTCCACAGGGTGGTTTAGTTGGCAGTAAGAAGGCAGGCCAAGACCGTCTCACTAGCCTATATTCTTAAT